AGTTACAGTATATGATGGGATAGCACCAGAGCTCTCGAAAAGTGCCATAAAGTACGCCCCATCATTCAGTGAGATGGGGACGGCTATCTGTCGCTCACCGGTGGTCCACAGAGAGTTGACTGTCTGCACCCTGCAATTCTCCCTGCCTCACGCTTGGCTTCTCTGAGTTTGTTCTTCATGCCAATGAACAGCTCGGGGTTTTTTAAGGAGTTGGTTATGAGGAGGAGAAGGGAGAAGTAACAGGATAGAAATACCTAGGGGGAGAAAGGAACAAGGGAGGTCTGCCAGTGTGTCCAAGGGAACAAGGGCAAAAAGGCAGCGGGGTCAGAACAGGGGAACTGAACTACAGGGAAATGCATGAGAAGGGGACCAAGAGGAAGAGAAGCACGTGCAGAAGAGACTGCAGCAGAAGAACTGGAAGAGGGGAGTCAAAGGAAAGAAGGCCAAGGAGCAGCTTACGTGATCTGCTGGGGGCAAAGCATGTTGCACCCCTGCCAGGAATGCACAGAGGAGCCCACGGGCCATGAGCAATGGGGGCAGCGGCCGCAGTGAGCAGGTCTCTAGCACAGCGTGAGCCGCACTATGCTGTAACTCATGCGCATCAATCACATCATGCAACGCCCTCCTAGAAGGTGCCTCAGTACCACAGCACGCACAAGGCTGGTTGATATGGAAGTGGTTGTGATCCTATGTCAGAGCGAATCAGTGCCCACCACACTAGTCTGAGGCACTGTTAACCCTGTGGTACGGAGGTGCCGTCCAATGAGGAAATTATTGCATGTAATTCCTGGTATGCCAGGTCCACGCACCGTGCTGTTTTCAATAATGGTCAAACTCCACAAAGTTCAACGCTAGGTAAGTCCTGATCGCCACATGCATTCTCTACCTGTGTAGCTGCCAGCTGGGTTGTGACAAGGATTGCTGTGATACCTCCTCTTGGATCAACTGCATGGTCAGGACGGACTTACTCAAGCTTTCAAATGCAGTGTGTTCTTCTTCAGCTGGGTTGTGATTTTTTTCATTTTTAAATGATGCAATTACCACCAGTAAAACCCCTAGTGCTGGTATAGTCATATCTGAATGAAAGGGCTTTCTTGGTGCCATTTCTAGTATGGGGTATGAGACTCTGTTCTACGGCTAAAAACGCACCTGCTGTTTATGGGCAGGCACAGAAAATAAGGACAATTATTTCTCTAGGCACCTGCTTTTTGTGAGCGAGGTCATTTGTCAGTGATCTAGGAAAGGATGCTGCAGCCTGCATATCTTCTGTCGCAGGGATACACCGCAGAGCCGTGGAGTGGGTCAGGGAAGTGCTCAGAGGACTGCAGGCCACATTACCCTTGGAGGGTCCATAAACCTGCCAATCCAAGATACTTTCTCTCCATCAGGAAGCTGTGCCCTTCATGCTCCACTGGTATCCAGCAGTCAGGCCTGAACTGCAATAAGGCCTTTCTGGCAGGTGGCAGCACAAGAGGGGGGAACTGCTGGCTGCAACAACTAGGCCTGCGCACCCCAGAATAATGCAAGAACACTTAGCAATTCCCCCACTGGTTTCTGCAGGCCCAGTAGCTCGCGCACTTACAAATACCGTGAATGCTAACAGCCAACTGCATCATTTTCCACACTATTTCAAAATGAGCATTTCACCCTTTGTCAGGGGACAGAAAATCTATTGCTGGTGGCAACACTGAGACACCCCAAAGACCTACAGTCCATGCCGACACTTAAAATGAAGAAGATATGAGGAAGGAGATAAGCTCATAAGAGGTAGAGTGAACCAATCTGCTTACAGGAATGCACAGGTTATCAGTTAGCTCCCCTGGCCCTCAGTTTAGGTTTAAAGTGCAGTGGGACAAATGCCTATTCCAGCCATTAGGTATCTAAGGGCACATTGACACCATGTCCCCAGCCCACTCTCAAGTGTGTTCTGCTCACTTGCTGCCATTTGCACGTGCCAGTCCTGGAAACGTGGCTGTGCAGCTCATTTGGGGGTATCCCCAACAGCCATTTGCCAAGTCTGTCTTTCCAGCAGGCTTGAGAGCAGCTTCGCCTCCATATCTCTGGGGTTGGTGTGCAGAAATGGAAGCAGGCAGGCAGGGCTGTGCATGACAGCCTGGGAGATACAGTCTAGACATGCCTCCAAGAGGGGAAAGGGATCTGGCTTCAAACCCAGGGAAGGATGAAAGAGTCTTTCCTTGGACTTCAAAGAGCTGGCAGGGCAGGAGGAGGTAACTTTAAAAGGCAGGAACAGTTTTCCTCAAGCAGGCATAGAAGAGGTCAATTGGAGACGCCGAACGGTTTGACCTACCACCTGGTCGTTCCTCTGGGTTTCTGCTACGTGGCTCAGCACGCCCATGCTCGCAGAACTTCAAAAGTGTGAAACACCAAGGCATGCGGTGCTGTCTTCTTCCCCTTTCATTGGAATTGCTGCCTCCTGCCTTTCATTAGTAGGAATGGAGAGGAGCAAATAATTAACACTCAACTCTTTGAACAGGGGCTACAGCAAAAGCCGCCCTGAAGATGGGTTGAGAAACCTTCCCGTTCTGCATCACCCCGACTGGAGAGAGGTCAAGCTTCCCAAATGGAGACCTGGTGCTTTCCTCCCAGGGTTGAGATGTGGTTGATTTCTCCTGGAGGGCTTTGGGAGCATAAAGCTGCATGGGGCCTTGGCGAGCTGGCAGCACAGGTTTGCTTTCTGACCAGCGTTTGTAGGGAATTTTCTTTATTGCATAAACATGTGCTCCCATTATACTTCCTTCCATGCCGGGTCCTTATCCTGCAGCACCAGCAGGCTATAGGGTTTTCCTTTTTGCCTTACACGGAGGAAACAAACACATGGAAACATCAGCTCATTGTTTGTCTCTCCACACCTGAGCAAAATGCCTCTTCGCTATCCCTGCTGTTTAAACTGGCTCCCGCATTTCCTTTGGGGGTCTTTAAATCAATCCAGAGAGAAAGAAACACATGTTAGCAGGAAGAAGTCTGCCTACGTCTGAAAACAAAGAACCGTCTACTCACCAGACACGCACATCCTCTCCCCAACCCAAGGCTGACCACACAAGAGCAGAGATTAGCACTTCTAAACCCGTTTTGCTTCCATAAGGGCTCATAGGAGAGATGGGTAGACTGGGATGAGGGGACGGGTAGTTTCTACACCAGATTCAAGTAGACATTGATGCATCTCTGTGTTTTGATTGGAAACACTGCTTTGGTAGCTGTCGTGCTACCCCGTTGTTTGTAAGGTCAGCTGCATAATTACATCGTGTTGCAGCTTATGCTGCATGGAAGCGTTTATTAGCTTGCATTGGAAGTGTAATCCTTTACAGTCGGGTCATGTAAAAGCACGGCTCTGGCACAGAAACCGGTGAAGCAGCTGTCGGGAGTGGCCGAGAGCGTTTCTGGGGATGGTTAGGCTGCCTTTGGACGTGGAATACCAAAGAGATTTTTGCAATGGCAAATGTTCCCTTCAACCTTGCCAAAGCATTTTAAACAAAGGCGCTATACTGTTCTCCAGCGTCAGCCTCAGCCACTACACCCACGTCCCTGCTAGCTTAGGTTTACCAGAAAATACTAGAGTTTTATTTTAAAAAAACAAACAAACCCTCAAACCTCCCAAATTAGTTTTGGGGAAGTGTAAATCAGTTATATCTATTATCTCTCAGGTTGCAGGGAAAGGAGCCTGTGCTTCGTTCCCCTTCGTGCCACTTCTTTTATAACTGCTTATTTAGGGAGCTCTGACAAGTTGCTGCTGCCTTGCGTGGCAATGCCATGGTTTAGCAAGCAGTTTTGCATGTGCAGGGGAGGTGGCTGCTCCACTAGGGAGGTACCAGCCTCAGACTTGGTGACGTGCATTCAAGTGCATGCTCTGCCCTGGCTTCCTACGTGGTGTCTTGGGCACATGACTTAGCATCCCCATGCCTCAGTTCCTCCTCTGTAAAATGGGGAGAAGATTTTAGTGCCTTGCTGCACGGGGCAATGGGAGGGCAAATGTTTTACAGCTGTTGAGATGCTGTGGTAATGAAGGCCATGTTAGGACATGAGACAGATAGGGATGCAGCTGGCACATACTGGTTACCAGTTACCTGCACCTCTTATAGCAGGCATTATCAGGAAGATTCATGTGTAGGCTCTTTTTTAGTAGAGATTGTCTGTTGAGGGATCACTCCTTCCATTCAAAATCATATAACTAGAGCAATTGTGTTTACAAAGCGGGAAAACATCTGTATTTTAACCACCTTCAGTGCAATAAGGGCTTAGAGATTTTGGAAATGGTTGGCCCCACGGTCTGCTTCCGAGTGTCATTTCAGCTCTCCTTTGCCAAAGGAGCTAAAGAAGAACTATATCTATTACAGCCCCCACCGAGGCCTCAAAAGCCTGGTGGCAGGTCCCCTAAAATCATGACTGGCATTAGAATCATAGGGGTATTTTTAATACTATATTTTGGAGGTCTGGAGACAGAATCATGATTTCAAAGCTATTTCGAAATAATGTTTTGGGTTCCTTGATTCACCTTCTATTTCTAAGAGAAACTTGTGCTGTGTGCCACCTTGGGCTCTTGATGGTAAGGAGCTGGGGGAGAGAAGCCATCATGTCTATCCATGAAGAGGTCTATTGATAAAGATTATGAGCACCTGAATAGCTCTTACAGAGGAGAACAAATGAATCACAGAAACAACAGAGGCTTGGATGGGAGAGAGGAACCAGAGGTCATTTTTTCAGAAGAGAGAGCCCTTTTTAGGCTGAGGAAGGTGGAGACTGGTATACAGCAGAAGCCAGACATGGGCTTGTCAATCCTGGCTTCTTCTTGAGGCCTTTAACTCAGGGGTGTCCAATTCATTTGTGCCAGGGCAGGTGTAGTGTGTAGCACAGTCCTGAGCTGCCCAGGATAAGTGCTGGATGCACCGTTCAATCCTGGATCAGCCAGCGCGTGCACTGCATGGCCTGGGCCAGCCCAGCACATGCTCCTGTGGGTCAACTCTGAGACCTAGGAGCAGCACTGGAGGCCAGATGATGCAGCTCCGTGGGCTTTATCCGGCCCCTAGGGCCCATCTTGGACACCCCTGCTCTAACTTAAGCCCAAAGAACACTGAAGAATCGGTAGACAAACGAACCGGGGAAACGCGTATGGGTATTTTGTTGTTTTGTTTAGATTGGGGTGTTTCTCGTGCTAATTAAAATAGAGGAGAATTGTTTTTGGAAACCTTACCAAGACTGCATACGTGGGCTTGTGCAATCCTGCATCTATATGAAGGGGTGAACTGTAAACCCGGAGAGTCCACAGGCAGAACGGTGGGAGGAAGCGTGTTCAGGCAGCTGAAGTGTCTGTGGAAGGAACTCAGCACCCATCTGGGGACAACTGGAACATGAAGTCCCATTTCCATGAAGGGCTGATAAAGGAAGATTGTGCCCAGGAATCGTGCTAGAGAAGCCAAGACCCAAGAAATGTAAAGCACACCAGCCTAAGAGGTCACCTGCAAACAGGTCCAGCACAGGGCACTCGACTGGGGCTGCACCAGTTGGCAATACCTGTTAGTAGCAGCAGGTGCTGAATCCTGAGCTGGGCACAGCGTTCACTCAAATGTGCCAAGCATAGGTTCACATCAGCTGTTGGCTGGCTTGGCCTCCGTTTTGTTCTGTGCTTGTTGAATCACATCCTCTTTCTCCACTCTTGCATGGCCCACTTCCCTTGTGAAACACCTCCCTTTCTCCTCCTCGTGCTGCCCTGTGCCCAGACATGCCTTTTGCCATTTCCTCTGAGCTTATGTAAGGAGTTCCTAGGTGGTGTCTTGGGCACGTGATTTAGCATCCCCGTGCCTCAGTTCCTGAGTGGAAGGACAGGGTATGTACATGCCTATGCATGGGCCACACATGTCTGCATTAGGCACAAGGCAGACCCAGCGTTTGTGAAATGGCTGTGGGGCAGCGAGGTGCAAGCAGCAGAACAGGAAGGAAATGACTTGCCCCGCTATGAAACTGTCCAAAAACTCACCGGTCAGTAAGAAGTTTAAGCAACTAAGTGGGTCGCTGCTGTGGGACTCTTCCCTCTTGGCCGACACTCAGTTCTCATCTCTTACAGACTGGCTCTGTCTCTAGAGAAATGCCCGGTGCCTGCCTAGGGCGCTCGAGATCGAGAGGAGCTTTATCCTCGACTTTGATGGGAGCAGAGTTAGGATTACTGTGAGCACTCAGGAAAACTGCTGTTGCTGCTTCAAAGGCTCCTGGCACAGCGGCAGTGAGGGAAGCTGAAGAGCAGAGCTCAGTGAGCAAATTCTCGGTGGTTAACTACTGATCTGATGGATTCCACCTGTTTCTCCCACTTGCCTGCAAGCAGACTTTGCTGAAGCTGTTCATCGGGCAGTTTCCCTATGCAGTCCCATGCCACGGACTCTTTAGGCAGGGTCTCCTGCGATCATTTTGTGTTCAAAACCTCCACAACGCAGTTCAGCTGTGCCTGGGCTCACAGCCCACATGGCATCGTCTCCAGGCTGTCATCGGCTGACTGTGACTTTTGGAATGAGGGTCTCGGTGAGGATGTTCAAGCTTGCAAGTTCAAAATCCACACCACGTACACTGTCTTCAGCTGGGCTACACCTTACAAACACAGGGACGCTCTGTTCCCTGTAGCAGCTGGGCCACAGAGAGGCGTAAGTCCGGGGCTTCCCGATCACAGCAGGTGGCGTCTTCAGCTCAGGTGACAAAGGCTTCATTCAGCCGGGAGAGGCAGAGGTCCCCATGCACTCCTTACCCCTGACAACACCCACCAAGGGACTTTGCCCCTTCCTAAATGCCATGGGGCTGTACGCCCTGTAACAGCATGAATCTGCTCCCCCCACTACCATCAAAGGGGTTCAGAGGGAGAGACTGCAGTTCCTTCTAGTTTCATGGGAGATGCAGGTTGGACAGTTGTAGGTCCAGGGGGAGAGAAAAAGAGAGAGAGAGAGAGAGAAATGAATCCATCAGACCCCATCTACTTCCTCCATGAAAAGCCCTAAATATGGCACAGTGCTGGTCCCTACCACCTCATGCCTTCCTAAATAGTCAATCTGTCCCAAAAATGCAGGATTCATGGGTCTTAGCCTTCAAGTCAACTCTATTGAGCTGGTCCACAGGAAACCTGCTCTTTCCCACCTTGAATTCCTGGTATGAATTCTTAGCTTCACTGATTCACAGTTCCTCTCCACACCCTTCTTAAGTACTGGCCCTAAGAGCACTAAATCCTTAGAAACCCTGCATGATATCTAGCAGCAGAAAGCTAGGGGTATGTGCTAGGCCTGTGTGAATAGGGAAGTATTCAATTCAGATTCGGCTGAGTCAGAGGAGACAGCGATTCGATTTGGAGATTCAGATCACTGTCCT